TCCGATGTCGGCGTCATAGGCTCGGACTTTAGTCACCAAGTCTCCAGGTTTCAGGTTGCGGGGAATCTCCTCCACCCCTTCGGCAGAACCGTTGGAGCTGACTGGATACAGGATGACTGGAGCGTTGTCGTTCTGATCCAGAATGAACACCTTCACTGTCACGTTGCTGCTCAGTGGCGGACTTCCACCATCGGTGGCCACCACGTGGAATTGAAAACTTTTCAGCGTCTCAAAGTCAAAACTTTTTAGTGCCGATATTTGTCCATTTTCTGCATTTATATTCAGGAAAGACATGATGTCATTCAGGCGTTCCTCTCTCACAATATGATATGAAATAGCTGCATTGCCATTTATATCTTTGTCTGTTGCACTGACATAGAAAACTGAATTCCCAGCCACATTGTTTTCTGCTAAATAAAACTCAAGGGGGTTCTGTTCAAAGCGTGGACAGTTGTCGTTCACATCTGATATCTGAATATTGAGAGATATTACAGCCGATAAAGGAGGCTCACCACAGTCAGTGGATTTTATTGTGATTTCATAATGAGACACTTCCTCTCTGTCCAAATAATCTTTAGTCACCACTGAAAATATGTTTTCTTTGTAGGATGGTTTTAATTCAAAAGGGACAGGATTTATTATGGTGGCGATAACTTTTCCATTAACACCCGAGTCTTTATCCTTCACACTAATGAGGGAAATAACTGAACCGGGTTTTGAATCTTCAGCCACTGAATTTGACAGTGACGTCACTTCTATTTGTGGAGCATTATCATTAATATCTCTGATCTTAATAATGACTCTGCATTCACCTGTCAAAGGTGGTGTTCCCCTGTCCGATGCCTCAATGTCAAGTTTATAAACGTCATTTTCTTCATAGTCAACTTTTCCTTTTACTCGTATCACCCCAGTCGACTTTTCCACTTCAAAAACACTGTAAACAGTTTTTCGCAATGTTTTTGCAAGACGATATTCAATTTCCCCATTAATACCTTCATCTGGGTCTGTGCCGTTCGTTTGAAATATTGAAGTACCAATCTGAATTTTTTCTGTTATTGTAATTTCGTAAATGTCCTGAGTGAACATAGGACGATTGTCATTAATATCAAGAACGATAATGGACACGTTCAGGGTGCCCGACCGCGGAGGTTTCCCTCCATCCACCGCCGTGAGTATCAGCGAGTGTTTTGCCTTTTGTTCCCGGTCTAGCGATGTCTTCAGCACCAAAAATGGAATTTTATCCTCGTCGCTCTTAGGCTCGGACTTTAGTCACCAAGTCTCCAGGTTTCAGGTTGCGGGGAATCTCCTCCACCCCTTCGGCCGAACCGTTGGAGCTGACTGGATACAGGATGACTGGAGCGTTGTCGTTCTGATCCAGAATGAACACCTTCACTGTCACGTTGCTGCTCAGTGGAGGACTTCCACCATCGGTGGCCACCACTTGGAATTGGAAACTTTTCAGCGTCTCAAAGTCAAAACTTTTTAGTGCCGATATTTGTCCATTTTCTGCATTTATATTCAGGAAAGACATGATGTCATTCAGGCGTTCCTCTCTCACAATATGATATGAAATAGCTGCATTGCCATTTATATCTTTGTCTGTTGCACTGACATAGAAAACTGAATTCCCAGCCACATTGTTTTCTGCTAAATAAAACTCAAGGGGGTTCTGTTCAAAGCGTGGACAGTTGTCGTTCACATCTGATATCTGAATATTGAGAGATATTACAGCCGATAAAGGAGGCTCACCACAGTCAGTGGCTTTTATTGTGATTTCATAATGAGACACTTCCTCTCTGTCCAAATAATCTTTAGTCACCACTGAAAATATGTTTTCTTTGTAGGATGGCTTTAATTCAAAAGGGACAGCATTTGTTATGGTGGCGATAACTTTTCCATTAACACCCGAGTCTTTATCCTTCACACTAATGAGGGAAATAACTGAACCGGGTTTTGAATCTTCAGCCACTGAATTTGACAGTGACGTCACTTCTATTTGTGGAGCATTATCATTAATATCTCTGATCTTAATAATGACTCTGCATTCACCTGTCAAAGGTGGTGTTCCCCTGTCCGATGCCTCAATGTCAAGTTTATAAACGTCATTTTCTTCATAGTCAACTTTTCCTTTTACTCGTATCACCCCAGTCGACTTTTCCACTTCAAAAACACTGTAAACAGTTTTTCGCAATGTTTTTGCAAGACGATATTCAATTTCCCCATTAATACCTTCATCTGGGTCTGTGCCGTTCGTTTGAAATATTGAAGTACCAATCTGAATTTTTTCTGTTATTGTAATTTCGTAAATGTCCTGAGTGAACATAGGACGATTGTCATTAATATCAAGAACGATAATGGACACGTTCAGGGTGCCCGACCGCGGAGGTTTCCCTCCATCCACCGCCGTGAGTATCAGCGAGTGTTTTGCCTTTTGTTCCCGGTCCAGCGATGTCTTCAGCACCAAAAATGGAATTTTATCCTCGTCGCTCTGGCGGACGTCTACTTCAAAATGTCCATTTGACGTCAGCGTGTATGCGCGAATGGAGTTCGTCCCTGCGTCAGGATCCTGCGCTGCTTGCAGCTGGAATCGTTTACCGGGCAAGGTGTGCTCGGCGATTTCAAACGTTTGCTCTTTTTCGGTGAAAACAGGGGAGTGGTCGTTCACATCGGTGATTTCTATCACGACATAATGTATTTCCAGAGGGTTTTCCACGATAACTTTGAGCTCAAAGAGGCAAGCGCCGCTGCCCTGACACGAGTCATCTCTGTCTATTCTCTTGTTCACGTACAACATCCCATTGTGCTGGTTTACCTCAAAAAAGGCCTCCTTCGATTCGGAAACCACTCGGAACCGCCGATCAAGCAAAGAGCTCAGATCAAGGCCCAGATCCTTTGCAATATTCCCCACGATAGTTCCATCTTTAACCTCCTCGGGAATGGAATAGCGGATTTCTGTCAAAGCCCGATTGACCAGCAGCAGAAGCAAAGCAAAATGAAAAACAACACGGGCTTCCATCTCCCGACAGCAAAACGCAGCTGCATAAAATGGTGAGATATGTTCACATCCAAGTCATTTTTTTTCCGAACATGACACTGCTCCAACACAATGCACGTATCGCTGACGAGCGCAGTGTATAAATGCCGCCCGAGATTTTGTCAAGCTCAAACAAAAGATTTCCAGGGGAGGGTCGTTATGTCGATGATTTTTA